CTCCTTTGATCTATTTCCTCCAGGATGGCCCCAAATATGGCCCGAGGCTCCCAAGGGTGCCCCAAGACGGCCCCCAGAGGTGCCCAGGCCCACACGAGGGCCCTAAGATACCTCCAATAGGCTCCCAACCGAACCCCAAGAGGCCCCCCCAGAGGCACCAAGACACCCCAAGAGGCCCATGGGACTGGACTGCAAAGAAATCTCCAAGACGCCCCACGCGGTCGCCAAGAAACTCTCGAACGCCATCCGACAAGAATCCGAGAGGCATCATGAGGCCGCTGGCCTTTCTGCTCGCCCTCCTCCTCCTCCTCCTCCTCCTCCTCATCCTCCTGTTGCTCATCCGCCTATTCTTTTTCCTTCCTCCTCCCTCCTCCCCCTCCCCTTCTCCCTCCTCCTGCTCCTCCTGCTCTCCCTGCTCCTCCTCCTCCTTCTCCTCCTGCTCCTCCTGCTCCCCCTGCTCATCCGATTTGTTTCTTATCTTCCCCCTCTTGGGGAATGACGTCTTACACAGTCCTGTACTCCAATACATGCTACTCCACATCCCTGATCAAGGCAACTCGTCTGGGCATCGTTTCTGGATATGTTTGTGGGGTTGCGCGAAGCGTCTAGAATCGGGATGGCGTAAGCGTCGGGTGCGGCGGACTTGGATTGGCCTGACGGGGCCATCATAAGCATGACGAGACCCAACATGAAATTTGACGCGAACTCCCGCCGCAAACATCCCGCGAAAACTGGACCGCCGAATCCAAGACGCGCTCGCCAAAAAGCGCTGGCAAGCCCAAGCTCCAGCGTACTCGACTCTCACGCTTCCCCAATCGAAATTTGATGAGAATCTAGCCGCGACGACAAAGCCTCTCCAGGACGGGCAGCGGTGACCGTAATTCGGAGAAAGAACAATGGCATGAACATAAAAACTCGGAGGTCCGCGCGGATTTCTTGGATCCGCGCTGGACCCCCCTCCGCGCGCCAGGGGGCCGCCGCGACGATCCCACAAATCCGCGCGGACCTCCGAGTCATGATGTTTGTGTCCTTGCTCGTTCCCCTAGTAATGCTCCTTTCTCTAAGGCCTCGTAGGCGGTCGGAAGAAGTGGGCAGAAACATTAAGTAGGAAGGCGTTGAACATAGATTGGGTTCCGTCCGCCCCCTGAGGCGGACGGAAAAGGCGAGGCCACCCGACCCTTGAAGCAGGAAATGCGACTGGGGCAGATGGGGCATTGGGAATCCCCAAATCCCTACTCTCAACGAGCGATGGGTAATCCTCCCTTCCCCGAGGCCTCGTAGGCGCAGATGGCGAACGCGACCGCCACGTTCAGGGAGTTCTTCACCCCGTGGCACGGGATGCGGACGGGCGCGCTGCAGAGCCCCAGCAGGTCCGCCTCGAGCCCGTGGCGCTCGTTGCCGAGGAGCAGCGCGCAGGGCGACGGGAAGACCAGCTCGTGCAGCGGTGTCGCCTGACGGGCACATCTTCCACCACCGCTACCATATGTGTATGTAGGGCAGGGGAGAAAGGGAGGATGAGGAGGTCCTCCTCCTCCTCCTCCTCCTCCTCCTCGTCCTCCTCCTCCTTGTCCTCCTCCTCCTCCTCCTCGTCCTCCTCCTCCTCCTCCTCCCATTCCTACCTACGGTACAGTGGTGTCGTCGCCCCCTCCACGGTCTCCAGCGCGAACACGGGCACGCCCCGCGCCCGCAGCGCCGCCACGGCGTCCGCGGCGCGCTCGTGGCGGCTCCACGGCACGTGCGCGTCGGCGCCCATCGCGGCCCGGGCCGTGTGGCCGCCGCCGCCGGCCGCCCTGCCCTGCCCGCGACCGTCGGCGTCCCCGGGCTCGGGCGCGGCGGTGTAGCCGCAGAGGCAGAGCTGCTCCGCGCGGAGGCACTCGGCGGTGCGGAAGATGGAGCCCACGTTGAAGGCCGAGCGCAGGTTGTCCAGGACGACCGTCAGCGGCATCCGAGGGCGCGAGGCGGCGTCGCGCGCCTCGGCTCTGGCCACGGCCGCGTCCGCCGCGGCAGTGGCGTCGCCACGCGCCAGGTCGTCCGGGCGCAGCACCAGGAACTCGTGGTCGCGCAGGCCCCTCGTGTGCTGGCGCTCCACCGGGAGCGCGATGGTCAGGAAGTGCCTGAGGCTGGCGTCCTTCGGGGAGAAAAGCACACTCACACCGCGGCGCCCTCCTTCCCTCGTTCTTGCCCCCTCGCCGCCCAACAGCCGTGGCGGCGTTCGCCGCCACGGCTCGACTCGCCCCGGGATCAAGGCCAAACAAACAGCCCCCCTCGAAGAGGTCGGGGGAGTAGGGGCCCAGTTGTGTCGACGCCAGCGCTGCGCGAGCGCTGCGCTGCCGCGTGTCTGACAACGCGCGGCTCCCCGATCGCCAGAGGCGGCGTTCTGCCATGGACGCGCGGCCTGGGGGGGGGGGGGGAGCCGACGCCGCGTCAGCGCGGTGCGGGCCTGCTGCGTCCTCAGACGTGCGACGTCTTGCTTTTTTCAATGTGGGGCTCCCGAGGTCCCGACAGTTTGCCCAAGGCCCGTTTTTCATCTCGAGCTGATTTTTGACAGATCTGGGGCCCGGTAAAGGGCGGCCAAACGATTATGCTACTGGAGCTTTCCAAATGAGGGTGCCACAACAATGGTGCCTGAGTGGGCAGCGTGGTGGGGCCTCTAAGGGCGCGCTCGGGGCCTGTCAAGGGCCTCAATGGCGCTCTGGCGGGGCCTCCCTGGAGGAGCGAGACAAGCACGAAACCGCGTAAATAGTATGGCGTTCCAGTACCATCTTCGCTCTGGCGGGGTCTCCCTGGAGGGTGGTCGAGGCACGAGACCGTGTAAATAGTATGGTATTCCGGTACCCTCTTCGCTCAGACGGGGCCTCCCTGGAGGGGTGGGAGGGGCACAATACATTGTAAATAATACGGCTTTCCGATACCCTCCGCGCTCAGACGGGGCCTCCCTGGAGGGGTGGGAGGGGCGCAATACATTGCAAATAGTATGGTTCTCCGACCTCCTCCTCGCTCAGGCGGGGACTCCTTGTCAGGGTGGGAGGGGTACGAAGCCTTGTACATAGTATGGTTCTCCGATACCTCTCCTCGCTCTGGCAGGGGTTCCCTGGAGGGTTTCACGGTTCTGGGGCCTGGTAAGGGCGCGGCCAGAGACCGAAAACATAACAAAACCTCACGTCGTGTTCTTGTTCACGACGCGACCATGTCTGGTTTCTCGCTCCCCCCCCACCCTTGGCTGGTTGCAACAGTGCTCTACTTTAGGTTAGGTTGGTTGGTAGGGGTAGGTGGAGGAATTGACACCCAAACACCCTTGGGCAAAAGCGGCCCGCTATACGTGATGACGTAGGGCTCAAAGGGCTTTCTCAGCGAGGCTACGCCCAGGGTAGAGGAGTCCAGGGGAGCCCAACTTCAGCACTGTTGAAAACATCTGTGCGCACTCTCTTTCCCTTCCCTTCCTCCTCCTCCTCTTCATCCTCCTCCTCCTCCTCCTCCTCCTTCTCCTCCTCCTCCTCCTCCTCCTCCTCCTCCCCCCCACCCCGGCGTCCGGCGTGATCTTCGGGGCGAGGCTGCTCAGCTCCTGCATGGTCTTGTCCTTGTGCGCGGCCAGCGCCTCGAGGCACGAGGACCAAGCCGCCAGCAGCGCCCTGCGCAGCGTCTCGTCCTCGTCCCACACGCGCTCGATGCGCTGCGCCTGCCTGTGGTGGGCTAGTTTTTTTCACCGCCACCACCAGAAGTAGGAAGGGAAGGGGGTCCTGCTCCTCCTCCTCCTCCTCCTCCTCCTCCTTCGTCCTCCTCCTCCTCCTCCTCCACATTCTTCCCCCCTCCGACTTATGGTGGTGGTGGAAAACAGGCCCAACAGCCTGCAGAGCAGGGACAGGCACGCCGGCTTGTTCTTCCAGACCTTCTGGAAGGCCTGGCGGGCAAACCCTGAGATCCGAACATCGCAATTTCTTCGCACTAGGCGTTTCCGCCTTGCGTCTGGCCCCAAGACCATCACATATCAGTCGAACAAAAACATGCCGCAGACATATTGGGTTCTGTTGTACTTGTTTCGCAACGTCGGATCTCATGAAACGGGCGCTGCAGAGCATGAATTAGTGAGGGCCGCTGGCACTTGGAACAACAACACTGCGGTTCGAGGGCGAGCGGCGAGCTCATCGTAAGCCACAGGACGCCAAGCAGAAACGAACGAGTAGTGATCTGTTTCATTCGCCCCGGCTTACAGCGTCGTTTTGGCACTTGGGACGCAAGAGCCCGAAGATAACACATGCACGCTAAGTCGACCCATTCCTCTCACATCGAGTCATAACACACAAGGCACTTGGACGCGTGAAATGCAGGGGCGTATGATGATTATGCAGACGCGAATGGCTGGGACGTGCATATTCCCTTTTCAACGCTTACTCCCAAAGCCGTACAAAACACTCACCATGGATGATGACCAAGGACTGGGTGGTTGTGGTAGTTCTTGCAATAATCCAAGTGAAACGATCCCAGAAAACTAATCATACCTCTTCCGCCTTCTTCCTCCCCTCCTCCATCCCTTGTCACCCCCCTTCCTCAACCGTCCCCCCCGCTCCTCCTCCTCCTCCTCCTCCTACTCCTCCTCCTCCTCCTCCTCCTCCTCCTCCTCCTCCTCCTCCTCCTCCCCTCTTCCTCCTCCTCCTCCCCCTCCTCCTCCTCTCCTCCTCCTCCTCCTCCTCCCTCCTCCTCCTCCTCCTTCGTCCTCCTCCTCCTCCTCCTCCTCCTCCCCCTCCTCCTCCTCCTCCTCCTCCTCCTCCTCCTCCTCCTCCTCAGCCTCTTCCTCCTCCTTATCCTCATTCTCCTCTGCTTATGCTTAAACTATCATGCTCCTCCTCCGCCTCCTCCTCCTCCTCCTCGTCCTACCCGCCTCCTCCTCCACCTCCTCACCCTCCCCCTCTTCCTCCTCCTCCTCCTCCCTCCCCTCCTCCTCCTCCTCCTCCTCCTCCTCCTCCTCCTCCTTCATCGCCTCCTCCTCTCTCTCTCCTCCTCCTCCTCCTCCTCCTCCTCTCCCCCTCCTCCCTCCTCCCTCCTCTCCTCTGCTCCTCTTCTCTCCTCAGTCATCCGCTTATGCGTATGTTTAATCTTATTCTGCTGCTCCTCCTCCTCCTCATCCTGCACCGCCTCCTCCTCCTCCTCCTCCTCCTCCTCCTCCTCCTCCTCCCCTCCTCCTCCTCTTCCTCCTCCTCCTCTCTCTCCTCCTTCTACACCTCTCCTCCATGCGGCTACTCTCCCTCATCTCCTCATCCCCCATCTCCTCCTACACCCTCTTCCGTGCTCTCATCCACCTTGTCCACCTCCTCCTCCTCCTCCTCCTCCTCTTCCTCCTCTTCCTTCTCCTCTTCCTCCGCCTCCTTCTGTACATCTTCTCCATTCGGCTACTCTACCTCATCTCATCATTCCCCATCTCCTCCAACACCCTCCGTGCTCTCCTCCTCCTCCTCCTCCTCCTCCTCCTCCTCCTCCTCGTGCACCTCCTCCTCTTCCTCCTCTTCCTCGTCCGCCTCATCCCCTCCCCTGGCAGGCATCACGGAGCGCAAGTCGGGGGATCCCCGGACCCATGTTTGAGACACTGCTGCGGGAGAGGCCCCGAAACAAGACGACCGAGAGCCACGGGCCACCGACACTGCTCGAGCTGTTGCGACAAGAAGAGCGCCGCAGGGCACGACGGATTGAGCGCCATGCGTCACCCGGGCTCGGGGAGCACTGTACATCTTAGCCCCGGCGCTCCACGCTGTTGAACATTCAACTGCCGGACGCCGCCGAAATATATCCCAAATAAGTGCACAAACTGCCGGGCGAAAGGCATAATTGGGACTGCTGGCGCCCGCCTGCACAGAGCGGATCTCTACGACTGCGGACGCTACCCCGCGCACGGCCGCCTGGAGGCCAGCAGCCCGCGGCGTACGCAGGGGCGACGGCGACCACGACGGCGGCTGCGGCGAGCGGCGGCGAGCACGACGACAGCGACGGCGACGGCGGACGACGTGGTCGCAGTCTCCGCCGCCGCCGCCGCGGCAGCAGCCACCTGCGGAGGGGTGGGGTGGGGTTTGCGGAGGAAGAGGAGGAGGAGGAGAAGGAGGAGGAGGAGGAGGAGGAGGAGGAGCAGCAGGAGGAGCAGGAGGAGGAGGAGGAGGAGGAGGAGAAGGAGGGGGGAGGGAGGAGGCAGCGGCAGCCGCGTGGCCGGCGGCGGCGGCGACGAGGGCGGCGGCAGCGGCGGCGCTCGTGGCCGCGGCGGCCTCCTCGGCCTCCGACGCGGCGGCCTCGGCGGCGGGGCCCCCGCGGGGCGCGTGGGCGCCCGCGGCGGCCTCGCGGGAAGGGCGGGCCCTCCTCGTCTGCGGGGGGGGACTCGCTGGGCCTCCGCCCCGAGGCCCGAGGGTCGACAGGCTCTCCGACGCCTGCCGCCCGCTCTGCTGCGGCGCCCGCGAGGGGCGTGGAGCGAGGGGTGGGTGGGGCTTCCAGCAGGGCGACGGGGGCCTCCACGAAGGCAGCGGGGCCTCTCGGAAGCTCGCCCTGCTTCTCCTAGTAGGAGCCTTCTCGGAAGCCCCCGGAGCCATCTAAGATCTAAGGAGCCCCTGCGCCTTCTTAGAAGCCCACTCCCCCGGCGCCGCCCCCGCGTGGGTGCCGCCAACTTTCGGGGCCTCCGTGAGGCTCCCCGTCGTCGCGGCCGGGGACCGCCTCAGGACTCTGGCCAGATCGCACCCCAAGGTTGGCCCAAGGGCCGATGTCTGATGGGGATGTCCAGAACCCCTCGCGTCGAGAAAAACATATGACCGACAACTTTTGAAAAATGGTCTGCCTCCGAAGCCACGGAAGCGTTAACAAAAAAAGACCCGGCCAAGATCAATACCGGCACCGCTTCAGACGCCCAGACCTCTGGAGATCGACGTTCCCGAACGACGTCATGAATTTATACCAGCGTGTCAACAGATCTCGACCCACTCCCGGGGACCGGTCTCTCATCCTGAGTCCATGTGAGCCAGTTTGTTTCAGACTCCGGCAAGTTTACTTGCACGGACAGGGGGGAGGGGCTCTGAACCTGACGCAAGCCGCGAACGACCGACTAAACGTGCGGACGCCATGCCAATAATCTTGCCCGAATCTGGGAACAGGGTCAAAACAATGCGTCCGGATTTTTTTTCGCGACGCGAGGGGGGGGCTGGAGGTTGTTTTATTTTTGTTTCCGCGACGCTCGTCGGGGCTCATGGCCTCGGCGGCGCGCGCACACTTTTCTCTGGCGCCGCGAGGGGGAGGAGGAGGAGGAGGAGGAGGAGGAGGAGGAGGAGGAGGAGGAGGAGGAGGAGGAGGAGGAGGAGGAGGAGGAGGAGGAAGGGAGGAGGAGGAGGAAGAGGAAGAGGGAGAGGAGGAAGAGGAAGAGGAAGGGAGGAGGAGGAGGAAGAGGAGGAGGAGGTGGAGGAGGAGTGCCACGACACTACACGCACTGGAGCTCCGCGCGGCAGGGCGCGGCTCGGAGCATGCTGGTGGCCTGCAGTC